CTCCCAAATCACACTAAACTGGCTTAACCCTTCCCTAAATGGGTTTAACTGGTTTGCAGCAGGGGCTCGTACAGGTTTAACAGAGCTCAGCTGAGTCCCAGCAGTGGTGCTTTCCTGGGTAAGCCCTGAGCCCCCATCACAGCTCTGTGCAGAGAGCGGCCCCAGGCCCTCCCCCAACTGCTTTGTGGGCTGGAAGGAGTGGGGATAACTCCCCTGAGCATGGATATAATTTCCAGAAGGTTCTCCCAGGCCCCCAGTGTTTTCTTTCCCAGCCCCGTGACACACCGGCTCAGGAAGCGACCTCAAAATGCCCCTTATTTCCAGCTCCCCACACCATCAGGGTTACAGAGGCCCTGCCCTGACACCCCAATAAACCAACCTCCTGCAAAGTGAAAGAAAACAGCCTGGCACCCCCAACACAGCCAGCAGCGCCCCCCCTTTTCCACCTACCCCTCCTCACAGTATGGTATCCCCGGGCCAGGAGGAGCCAGCAGCTGAGAGGAGCCTGTGCCCAGCCGGGTCTGGCAGAGCCCCAGCCCAGGACCAGCTTCTTGGCAGGGCCGAGCCCTTAAACCTGGCTCAGAGGCCGAGCAGGGAACAGCAAGAGCTGAGACCCCAACCCGGGCGACCCCCCACAGCCGGGAAGGAGCAATTTGGGGAGATGGGGGCCATTTGCAGATGCTCCGAGGCAGACAGGGACAAAGCAGCTGCAAACGAGCCATGGCTCCAGGCGGGGAACGTTTTCCTCGCTCTGTGACCCAGCAAAACGGGAGCTTTTAAGTACCTGCCGCAAAATTAGGCATAAAAAACCCCCTCGGTTCCCTTCGTGCTGCGGCGCCAGTGAGGACAGAACATCCTGGAGGTGTGAGTAACCCCCGGTGCCAGCCCCGCGCCGCGGCAGAGGCGCCCGGGGCGCAGCAGCACCTCAATTAGGAGGTGAGGTGAGGCAAGAGCTGGCCCCGTGTGTGCCGAGCAGCACGTTCCCGCTCTTATCAGCTCCATCGGTACCTGCAGCCAGCGTTTCTCCGGTCGCGATCCCGTCCCTCCGAGCGGAGCAGCCAGAACGGAGCCTTTCCCGCTCCAGGGGGTCCTTTAAAGCCCACCAAACACCTGCAGCTCGTCAGCTCATCAGCTCCCTCCTTTCCCACTGAGTCACCAGCTGTTCCCACTGATTCACCCCTCTCGGCCACCTCTCCTTTCCGTGGCCCGTGGCCATTTCCCCGGTCCCCTGGTTCCCATTGACTCACTCCCATAAAGCTCACCCTCCCTTTTCCATTCCCATCCTGGTCATCTCTGGTCACCTGGACTCACCCTGAGGAGCCATGAGGAGCATCCCAGTGTGGGACCCGCAGGCTGGGCAGCTCCAAAAAACCACCTCCAAACCTGTGCAGAAGCACCATTCCCAGGCCCCAAAGCTACAGGGAGCACCCTTTTCCAGGAGCAAAGGATTCCTCCCTATTTCTCACCCTGGTTGGCATCTTCTGCTGTGTTTCCTTCCAGGGACCATGGGAAAAATACCAAACGCTTTGCAGACCTTAGATGTGATCAGTGCCTCAAGCATATTCCTTCACACTTCCCATCCATCCCTCCATCCTGGAACCATCCCACGGTTCAGTTTACTCCAGCTGCAACACAGGAAGCGTTTAGGAACGAGTCTGGAGGACCTGGGAAGCGCGGGGAAGTGGGATTTTGGGGGAGCAGGGAGGTGCAGGCCCCGGCGCGTGCCGCGCCGCCGGCGCACCCAGAGCGGCTCCGAGTGGAAAATTCCTGCCCCCGCCGAGCTCGGATTGTGGTCCGACAGGTTTCAGTCCCAGCCCCTTTACTTGTGTCAGTGCAAAAACTCATCCCTAGGGCATTTGTTTGGATCACATGGGCGAGCGTATAAAAATGGGCCCTACCTGTCCAGGCCAGTTAGCACCTGGAAAGGGAAGGCGGCTGCTGGAGCGGAGGGAAGAGCCGCGGGACGGCACAGGGCCGGTGCACACAGGTAACCACGGAGCAGATCTACCCCCTGGAGCAGATCTACCCCTGGAGCAGATCTACCCCTGGAGCAGA